GACAATTATGGTCGACATGCGTCGTGTTGGTAGGTGGTGGTCGGCGGCGCGGCGGTCGCAGGCGAGGGTGGATGTGTGGTGATGGGGGGTGGGGCGGGGGGAGGGGGAGGTGGGTGGGGGGGGGGGGGGTGTTGTTCTCAAAAAAAATTTTTTCAGCCCTTTGGTTCTCAGTTTGGTCTAAAAATACGAGATCTGGATCTGCCTTGTAAAGGACTAGTGTGATGTGACACTGTGCAAGGCTTACAAGATTAAACAACCAAACTCACATCCATTATTTTCTAGCCTGTGGCATTTTATTGACAACAAAAATACAGTTTGTTTAATTTGCAGTCTAAAAGAATGCATGAGAAGTTAACTGTTGTCATCATCTTCTCCACTATCCTTGCCTCCATATCTGAGAAACTTCAAAATTCTCTTTAAGATGGCATTTTGTAACTTGTCTGGTTCTTGACACTTGTTGTCAGATTTCACTGGTGACTGTTGTTTCTCTGACTTGTCTTTGACGTAACTCCGTAACATTGCCAAAGGAATTGGCAAAGGTAACCACAAGTGATAGCGTCTTAGTGATGAGCTGTGTGTCTTGATTAATAACCGTTTTGAATTTAAAGACAGTGCTGCACCTGACAGAAATACAAGAGGGCAAAAGTTAATAAAAAAGGGAAAAAGGCTATTTTGACAAAATAATGATCTGCATTGTTTGGTATATTTGCAATCTGATTGGTTTTTGGTGATAATGGGGTTTTTACCTAAGAGTTTATAAAATGATGTCAGCGTGTTTCTCAACATGTCAGCACAGTCACATAACACATGGTCTGATCTCTTCAATCCCTGTGTATATGCTCATAATCAATAAATTCTTTTTAAATAAGTAGATGTGTCTGGACCTCAACCCAGAAGAGAGCCCTTGTGGCTGGACTAAATTGTTAGCAACCAACTCCCTTAAGCTCCTACTAAAACTTGTCATTCTGGGCTGTCACTTACTGATGGTTCAACTATATTTAAAAATTCATCAGAAATGAAAATGCCCAAACATGTGGAACATGAACATGGTGGGCACATAGGACACAAAAAGGTGCATCCTAGGAACTACTTTTCCTTTTTTTATTCATTTGAGCTCGAACTTTGCAGGATGTTAGAACTTTGTATGCTAAAAAATCCTATGTTTTTTATTTTTCGAGTTTAACAGTTTTGATTTTTGAATTTCCTGCCATTTTGTTACTACCAAGAAACATAAGTACATTTCAAGATGCCATACATCTCCTAAAGCAATTGAGCTTTTCCAAAAAGTTTTTCACATTTGTTTCTGTCACATCAAGATTATTTATTTGTTTTGCCCGAACTTGAAAAATAGATTTTGCTGTCAGTCTTGTGACATCATTTTCCTGCCAAAAACCGTCAATATCGAAAAACAAAAAACATAGGATTTTTTGGGATACAGAGTTCTACCATCCTGCAAAGTTTGAGCTCAAACGAAGAAAAAATGGAAAAGTAATTCCAAGGATGCACATTTTTGCATCCTATACTATATGCTCACCATGAAAGTTAAGTAATCTTACCTTGTTGATAAGAGCAATTCCTACATTGTGGATAGAACCTCTGCTTTTGTCCTTCTTTAACCAGCATGTTGGGTGGGATATGATCTCCCACAAAAGTAGTTCTCCAACGTTTTCCACAAGAGTGACAACCATGTATTCTTCCTGTGTTATGTAAAAACTGTAGTGATTATGTTATAAATAAAACCACAATTAAAGAAATCATAATTTCCAGACTTGCTAATAAAAACAGGGCTTATAAGCTGGTTATCACTAGCAACAGAGTAAGAGTCATAATCAAAGATGCAGCACTTACATCTTCATGGAAATCAATACTTGGTTTCATAAGTGGGATATTTAAAAAGCTCAACAGAGTCATAGTTCCAAGAATTGGTTCTTTCTGTAGGTACTGAGGCACAGATTATGTGCAACAAAAAAAAACCTTTTTTGTGATGATGGTACATGCAGAAGGACCCCAAGAATTACAGCGTTTCCATTTTTCTAACCCTATTCTTGACTATTCCCCTTCTGCCTGCGGCCACTCTGATGATCTAATTTTCNTCCTAAAGCAATTGAGCTTTTCCAAAAAGTTTTTCACATTTGTTTCTGTCACATCAAGATTATTTATTTGTTTTGCCCGAACTTGAAAAATAGATTTTGCTGTCAGTCTTGTGACATCATTTTCCTGCCAAAAACCGTCAATATCGAAAAACAAAAAACATAGGATTTTTTGGGATACAGAGTTCTACCATCCTGCAAAGTTTGAGCTCAAACGAAGAAAAAATGGAAAAGTAATTCCAAGGATGCACATTTTTGCATCCTATACTATATGCTCACCATGAAAGTTAAGTAATCTTACCTTGTTGATAAGAGCAATTCCTACATTGTGGATAGAACCTCTGCTTTTGTCCTTCTTTAACCAGCATGTTGGGTGGGATATGATCTCCCACAAAAGTAGTTCTCCAACGTTTTCCACAAGAGTGACAACCATGTATTCTTCCTGTGTTATGTAAAAACTGTAGTGATTATGTTATAAATAAAACCACAATTAAAGAAATCATAATTTCCAGACTTGCTAATAAAAACAGGGCTTATAAGCTGGTTATCACTAGCAACAGAGTAAGAGTCATAATCAAAGATGCAGCACTTACATCTTCATGGAAATCAATACTTGGTTTCATAAGTGGGATATTTAAAAAGCTCAACAGAGTCATAGTTCCAAGAATTGGTTCTTTCTGTAGGTACTGAGGCACAGATTATGTGCAACAAAAAAAAACCTTTTTTGTGATGATGGTACATGCAGAAGGACCCCAAGAATTACAGCGTTTCCATTTTTCTAACCCTATTCTTGACTATTCCCCTTCTGCCTGCGGCCACTCTGATGATCTAATTTTCAGTAGTTTGTTTATAATAGAGCCTTTTTTCTCTAGAATTTTCTGAACTTCTGTGTCGAAATGGCATCGACTCTACTCTACGGCCAAGAAACCACAACAACTCGAAATGAGTGCAAAGCTATTCTTTTTTTCCTGATCGCTTGGTAGGCCTGAAGGGAGGGGGGGGGGTGCAATGGGTGTGCTCACAAACCCTCACAGGGACCAGAGATCCACTTTTTTATTGATCAGTGATTTAAAATAAAGTGAAGTAGGAGTATTGTTCTATTCTAGTTTACTGATTGTGTAGTAAAATTGAAAATGCCGTGAAAAAGGTCACAAGCCTGACTCACCCTTTCCACAAAAAGTGTTTTAGCCTTCGTAAAGTAAGGGGGATTTAGTGTGCCCACAAGACATTTTTTCATTGCTCAATAAAAATTCCCTTTAGGGTTTGTTTGCCATAGTTTTCTGCAAAATGTTGGATCTGAATTGTTATTTTAACAGTTGGTGAGTATGAGATTCCCCCTTCAGCTGTGAAATGCTGGATCCAGCTCTTTGTGTTGCTTTTAATTAGAGGATATTAAAACTCCTATTAAAGCTACACAACTCTTGTTACTGTTAGCTTGGAGCTTGATGCAGGGACTGTGTAGGGGGAGGGGCTGGGAGTAATACTGGAAAAAAAATCGAAGTTACTTTTCTATTCAACGTTTTACCTGAAAACCCATTGTTTTATATTTCTACCATAAATTTGCAACAATGAAAGTGAAAAAACTGTTTTTCTTTTCTTTTGTTCTTGCATCAGCTGTTTTAGTTCAACACGAAGCTAAACTTCCGTTATCGAACAAGTTCAACGGTTTGGAGAATAGTTGTTGTTGCATTATGTGTTTTGCGGAGAAAATTTTTTTTATGACGTGTTTTTTTGCTGAAAGTAGATATGTTTCACCACACCATGCTAGTTTTAAATGCATTTCCATCCAACCATTTCAGAGGGGTAAAATTTAAACATTTCCCGAGGGAGCATGCCCCTGGACTTACGCTAACGCGTTTGAAGTGAGCTCCTCCCAATTGCAAACTTGCAGGGCAATTCAGTCTCAGACAACCAAAGCTCCCCCCCCAGCAGAGACAGAGACTTGCCCCTCTGGCCTCATTTGGTCCATCTCCGCATTGGATTGCACCTCCCTATAAAACAACCTAGCTACAGGCCTGCTTGGTAATTCTAAATGACGATAGAATGCTTTCAAACGATTAGAACAAGAGATTTTGTAGAAATTCTAGAAAATGTTCTGACTGCTGGACATTTACTTTTTTTAAGACCCTTCTTAGACTTTCTAAAAGTCCTTGCATTTTTTTTTTCCGTGAACCTCAATGAAGCTCGCTTCGCTTGCTCTTTTTTCACCTGGGTAAGAACTAGGTCAACTAGTAGCAAGCCTAGACCCTTCCCGGCTGCCCAGCGTATAGCCACAGCGAAATTAATTTGTCTAAAGCATTCATATGCATTTCAAGATTTGGGGCTGATCATCTAGAGATTGGGGGCTAATTGTCTTTGAGGCCATTTATTTGATATTCTCTTGAAAGCCTTGAAGGATTAAAAACTCACCCATTAACGCAAGCTTTCTTTTCACACCATCAGAAGCATATCTTTTCCCTTTAGCTGGAATATACCTTTTAGCAAATGCTCCTGGATGAATCAAGCTACTTGGCAAAACTGATCGGAACCTTCCGCCAAAAATTTTGTACACCACTAAGCTTGCAACTCCGCACAGAGGAATATCTCTGGAACAAACTGCCACATCTACTGTCGTATTTGGGATAAAAGAATGGAGTTTTTCATTTAAGATTCGTAAGGAGCTGCCCTTGATTTCCTTAAAAAATACAATGCTGGAAAGAAATACAGCTGAGGCTGTGCTTCCAGAGACCATCAAAGAAACAGTACCGAAGGCTGAACCAATAAAGCGACGGTTTGAAGTTATCCTTAGAGGGCGAAACAATCCAGTTTGTAGGACACCAAGACAAAGAGGAAATGTTATTCCACTTAGTGCAGTAGCTAGCACTGCATCGGCCATATCTACTTGCGTGCATTTTTGTTCAGTTGAAACTACACGGCTCCAGATTTTATCGCCAAAAATACGAGCCTTCTGCAGCGCTTTTTGAAGGAATTCGTCCGCCATGTATACCCTCAAGAACCCAGACTCCCTCAAGTTCATTCAGTTCGGTACCAGTTTTCTGCAACTTTTATCTGTTTACCAGATGCCCAAAACGCGGGGATGCCCATATCACTGTGACATCGGCACTTTATTTTTCCGGATGCTCACTTTCGTGGATCAGCATTTTTCTGTACTTGGAAGGATATTAATCTTAGCTATAGCCTGTAGACCAGGCATTTCTTTTTTCCGCGTTCTTGAGGAGGAGAGCGAAGGCAAGCGCAAAGCGAGCAAGGAGGAGCGGCAGACACGCGCGACAGGGAAAGGTGCCCTCCCCATTCGCGCTAGTCTTGCGCTCCACGCCCGCTTTGTGCTTTTTCGCCGAACAAGAAAAATGAAAACTGTTTCCCTGGGCCTGTTCTGAATGTTATTTCAGCAAACTGGTCCAATCGGACTGGTTCTGTTCGGAATTAATTTCTTCTTTCGTTAACAAATATTTGTGTTAGAAGCCTATTACTCTTGGCTCTTCTACTTGAGTCTTTCTAAGTTACAATTGTGGAATTAATTCTTCCGATTATTTATTTTCATGCGTAAACTTTCTTTGACGATTGTGTACAAGGTTTAGGGAGCGAGGGGCAGAGATTTAACGGAGCCCTGGGCCACATTAATGCGAATTCCTCCAACTGAAGCTCTGGTCAATGTCGACAGAGCCTGTCCCCCGAAAGTGAGTGGAATCCATTTATGGCATTACCTGTTTTTAAAGTTGGCTCTATTTTCGATGCTGTTAGTCCGAGTACTGTCTTCTTACAAACAACCAACAAATCCAAATCAAGAGAGAATACTGGCTTGCTTTATTGAGTTCCATAACGAATTGCGTTTACTTACATCCAAAAAGTGAATTATTCTGCTCTTACATGTACATCACTCAGCTCAATCAACATGATGACAGCTTCTACTAAATATATGTATCGAAATAGCTCATTCTCTCTTGATCGAACGTAAACAACGATCAGATCATCCGGGGGCAAGTCATCTGTAAATTTCTCTTTCAGCATGCTAGTCGACCGGGTGCCTGTTAAGATGTACAGTAGCAGCAATCAATCTTGTTCTTGTGTAATATAAACTTAAATTATTTCATTAATCACCCTAGTGTGACCACAACCTAATCCGCCTCAGGGTCTTTCTTCCGTCCGAACAAAAAGATAAACAAAAGTTACGAGGAAAAAATTCTTGTTGTGAATTTCATTAAACTGGCCGTAAACTGAAGAACTCGTGTAGGATATATTAGTTATCACTGTGTGAAGTTGTGGAACGTGTCATAGTTTATCCGGAGACTCGAATTGCCAAAAAAGGTTGAAATTCCCTAAGGCTTACATCAAGTCAAAAAAATGATGAAGGCGATCTCTTTTGCACTCATTTCAAGTACTGGAGCGTTCCTGGCGCTGATTGGCCTTATTTGTCCTGTAAGTTAAGATATTGTCTTCGATTGAAAATTATTATTTGAGAACGATATTCAGAGTAACTTGAGTCAACGACCTTAATGGGTATGCAGCTTACTAAGATTATTTTCAGAATTTTAGGTGAAATTTAGAGTACTTAAAGCTGCAGTTAGCATCAGATTTATCAAGTAAGCTTTTATTTAAGTTACCGTATTAAAACCGGCACTGTGTTCCACCACTGATCTTAAGAAATGCCTTTTACTTCGATTCCCGTAGAAAAACATTTCAAAATCTCCATTAAGTCTGTCGTTCTCAAGCCGTACTGATTCCAATGTTGTTTTATTCTCGCAACTTGGTAAAATGATGCTCACGTCGCCGGAAGGGACGGTGGAGGGCGGCTAATGATGTCTTGAAGGCGAAGCATGCGAGTCTTCTCTAATTGTCTTTTTTCGCAAAAAGTGGGAGTCCTTCCTCGAGGTTTTATTTTCAACACAGCGCATTCATGTTTCCTTAAAACCTTACTTTTTATGTAATCACGTATCGATATTTGAAATCATTGAGTATTGCATTTACTTTGTATTGTCTCTGTAAAGACTTGTAAGTCAAAATAAACGACATGGCTGCATTTGCATTTCATGTTTGCTTGAAAATGTCAATAAAGATATTTTAAATTTGTGGTAGATTAGCATGAACGACTCTATCTCTATTATACTGAATCCTGAGTAAAAAAAGATGTAATTAAAATGGTAATGTTTTTTTTAAACCCATCGAATGAATTTAAAGTAAATTGCTAAACTGTACGTTTTATGTAGACGAAATTCAGTCAGTTTTTAACGATGTGTGCGTTTCAAATGCATTTTTCCTGTTTTTTGACCTCAGGTCGTTCATTCCTTTTGTCCGCAGTCATCGTGCACAGCAGAATCATGTGGAGCAGAGGTAAACTGGAAACGGAAGAGATAAGCTTTGTCTCCAGTCTCCCCTCGATGTGATGACCTTAAGCCTTTTTTCTCGTGATTAGCAGCTGTGCAATTTATACTCTGCATTGCCTGTTTCTGATCAGAATTAGGGAATTCGAAATTTCGTTCTTTCCTTGTACTTTTCAGCAGGTTTTGATATTTAAGTTTGTTTGTTTGTTTGTTCTTTATATTTTGCAGTCAAAAGTGATCTACCATAAGACCATGACTCCTCTGTGTTTGGAGGCGCATGCATCCTACATCGATACTTCTCGCACAGCAACCGCCCAGCAGCTGACATTCAATGCAGGCTCTGTGACTAACCCTGCTCTCTTAAAAGTTCCCATGATCTCTGCTGGTTTCTTGAAGCCAAATACACCGCTGACCGTTGAGATTATCGCAGCACATGACGTCAACATTGGAAAGGTGCACGATAGCGATATCCGATATGGAATCTCAGATGGTACCAACTTCATTGGGTTTGAAACTTGTGACAAGGGGAACTATGGCAGCAACGCTCCCTGTTATAAACTTGAAGGGTCCTCTGGCACACAGTTATCCTCCCTAATGCATGGACCTGTCACTCCCAAGCCCAGTGACTCTTTCTATCCCGGCCAGTTTGTGTTCACACTCAAATTGGATGAACGCTGGGGCTCGTGTTACACTGCGCATGACGGAGGCTTTGTGAAGACCGTTGGCTACAATAAGCGATTGATGCTAAACAAGGGGCTTATTCTGGAAACTTACAAAAGTGGCAGAGGAGAGAGGGTTGGAATCAAGTTCATCAAAGTCACCATCATTCAAGATGAAGCGTAGATCTGTCACATAAAATCAGATGCATTGTATCTTATTTTTAAAGAAATCTAATGGGGAAGGGAAAAAACTAAATACATTAGGTAAAGTTGCCCCTGGTCATAAGCAAACTCTTGTCAGAGGAAAAAAAAATAGATTTTTGTTATTATTATTTTATTAGTAGTGAAAGCCTAGGGTAGAAAAAATCATGAACTGTTGCGGCTTATGTAACAGGATTGATCAGTGAATAAAGGCGGGTTTGAAGAAAAGTGAGTGAGTTATTTCTTTGGGATCTTGTTTGCTCTAACCACTTTTTAAGTCACGAAGATTTATTTTTCTGGTTATTGCATTTTTTTGTTATAGGAAAATAGGCCCACCCAATACTATCCACCCACAGGCAACATTTTAATGCTCATCTTTTCTAATCAGTTAAATTTTTAACAGGATCTTTTCTTACTTCATTCAATTTATCCAGCAAAGTAAACAGAAAATCAGAGTGAATTCCCTCAATCAGGTTATAACGTGGGATGAAGTAACTCGGCAAAGACTTTGTGGCAAGGCAATAAAACAAGTCATCTAGAAGTCCAAGAAGGCTGGCTGCAAAATTGCTGTGTGTCCATAAGCTCAATGGGTACTTGTGGCATGCTCGAAAAAACACCATTTTCAAATGATATGAATGAAGAATGTCAGGGCATTTTAAATGCCAAAACCTCATTTGCTTGAATACTCTGTAACATGTTATAGCAGCTACACATTGTGATGCTATTTCCTGCATAAGAACAAGTTCTATGACACTAAAAGAGAGTCTCCATTCCACCTTTGGTTGTCCACTCGGTGAGCATTTTCCAACAAGATGAAGATGCTCATGTTGCACTTTACCAAAAGCCTCTTCACTGAGCCAGTTTGGTTTTCCATGTACTTTTACCCACGACGGGTATTCCTTTGGCAGACAATCAGAAGGCAACTCCAATGCCACAACCAAATCGCAATTGATTGTAATGTTTTGAAAGTCCAAAGACATAGACAAAGTGACAGCTGGTGGATTGAAATTTAACCGGAATCTCTCATTTAGTAATGGGATTTGTCCAAAAATATGTTCAATTTGCCGATACAAGTCTTCTACCATCAGTAATGGATTAAGGTACATTTCCCCTTTCCTCTTTGGATCGCTTGGAACAATACTAAATTGAGCCCATCGTCTTCTGTATTCCTTATCATTTAAGAACAAAACGAAATATCCCTCGCTTGTATCTTCTTGTTTCATCAGTATGGCTGGACTGTCTGCGGATCGTCCTATTTCAATGTCTCGAAACACACACAGTATATCCATCTCGAATTCAAGGTTAGGCTTTCCATCCCCACGCCGTTCAAAATTAGGGATATTCACTCCTTCTGCCGTACTGCCAGTCCAGACAAACTCCACTTCCTTGTACAGAGGGTGTTTCCTTAAAGGCTTGTACAAACAGTTCTTGATTGCACCGAACACAGATGGAAATATCTGTTTCGATAAATCATCCATAACTTGAAAACCACCTTCATCTAAATGCTCATGTAGAGCTTTATTCAGGCTTGCGATTGAATGCCCAGATAAGCGGTCAATTTCATCTCCAACTTGCGCCATATTGAAACTGCTCTCGCTCGTGGCTACGTCATGTACACGACATATTTTGTATCTTAGGCTGAGTTGATGAACTAAATCCCAGTCCTTACTGCTGAATATTTACTTCCGTCTTTGTGGAATCCAGTCCTTGCTCTTATTTATTCACTTCCCCTACAGTCGGGAGCTGGTCACACTGCACCGAAGCATAGCATCAAACCTATCAGATATGTGACTTCCCACTTT